CCTCTTTCACATTCCGTAAAAAAATTGGAGGATTGCCATTTGAAAAAAATATCGATGACGTCATAACTCGTTTAAAAATGGCGGTTTAAAAATTTAAATCTTTAGACCCGTTTCATGGATTTTTCTATAAACCGTTTATAATGATTATATCGCCTATATCCGTTACTTTACGGACATACTGTATGCCTTATAGATTGTAGAAAATGTGTGTGAAAGTATATTTAAAATTTCGCATTATTTTGGAAGATACAGCGTATGAAACGTATACTGTGTGGAAGAGTACAAACGATCTTCTTACTCTCCTTTACTTCAAACTTTAAAAAACAAGTTTGTGTTCTGCTATATTTTATACCAATCCTTGTTTGTTGACTTTCATAGAAAAATTTTTTCAAGTAAATAAAAAAGTCAATTCAATAAATTGATAAGGTATTATAGTTTGGCTATCCGAAGACATTACGAGTTTGTGAAAGATATGAACAAACAAATTTGGGCAGAGTACTATCATAAAAGTTCCACAGATGAAACACCATAACATCAAAACTATCTTGAAGGCGAAGACAGTTGGTGTAGGTGGCATAAAGCGGAGTATATAGGTTTTGTATAAATTAAAACCAATTCTTGAACGACTTGTGTGTAGAATTACAAAATATTATATCACTTATAACGAGTGGTTATATCCGCTAATTTGGAATTTCACTCTGTTATAATCTTTAATAATCAATTTTTACTAATTTTTACTAAGATTGTGGATGTGACGGAAGTAAAAATTGGGCAACAAGCAGAATTGCAAACGCACGGTCGCAATAACATCTGCATTAGCTAAGCAAGATTACGTTCACCTAATTTCCCAAGAAACCCAATGTACATATATGTACGAGCTGTAAGAAGGACCACTTTATCGTCCTGGAATAGCAAATTAACTGCAAATATTTGTATTTTAAAGATTCCACAACATAATAGTTATACAAACTTTAATCGCGTTTTTTCGAAACGGCATTTTGGTAACTGGTAACCATGACTACTCAAAAACTACTGACTCAAATTACTCACTTTGTACACATTAACCGCATAATGCAGTTATCGTCTGAAATAGAATCAAGTAAAAAAAAAATTTTAAAAAGTAAAAAAGCGTTAATAAATGAAATTCAATAGTCAAATTGACGCCATTTTATTTCTATCGACACACCTTATAGATATAGATGCTGACAGAAAATATCCCGGTATAAATAATTGTAACCAATTTTGCATAAAAAATGTGCAAAGATATCTAAAAAATCGCAATTCTAGACAGGATTCCCCCCTTAATGCAACAACTATCCCAACAGTTTGGAAATTGTGCGTGAAGTGGTTCTGATAGTGAAGAAGTTATATTTTTATTTATTATTGGAAACAACTTATATATCATATATGTATAGACAGAATATCAAAATAATAACTAGATCCAAAACAAATTAATAATAAAATTAGGTAACGCTACAGTGTGCTAAATAAAAGCCTCTTTCTTCTTTATAAAAACAAAGTATGGGGAATTAATAGTGTCCTATTTATTACTCGTAGTTAATAGTTACCAAAAACATAAGCATACAGCTGATAATCGATGTTCCCTAGTTTTAATTTCAATTTTCTTTAACTATTTCAGATTTTGAACATCCTTCCGCTGCCGTAAACATGTTCATTCTTTACTATTTTGATTATAAAATTGAACCAGACGTCTATGCTTATTTCGTTCCATTGAAATATGCTCAACATTCACTAGAAGCACCATCAGATCGTCCAATACAGAACAAGAACGAACTGATATTTTACTCCGTTCCAGTCGACTTGGAAGCATTATTCAATCATAGTTGTGGTGGTTCTTTGTGTAAAACAGGCGTTTGCAATTCTAAATTTATCCTTATTCCGTTAAATTTAGAATATTCAGAATATATGTACAATAATGTTTTGTATCCTGTATGGAAAAAGTACCTTTTTAACCTGTCAGGTATTAAACGTTATTGCGCATACTATGACGATGAAACTGTAATATCTCCTACTGGTCAAAAATATATCGTATATGCGATATTTTCCCTTGAGAGACAAATTGCGTGGGATATGAACATCAGACCTCAAGATATAACCGATATTTTGCACCCAGAGAAATTATTAAAGTTGTGTGTTTATACATATGAACCGCAACACCCCCAAAAAGTTAATGAAACACCGAAATGCTCTGGTACACAAAGTGTTGAACATCCGACAGAGATGAAAGAAAAACTGGCTCTTACTAATGACGAAACAAGTTTGGAATCTGAAGCATCAAATCCTTCATCAACATCGGTACAAAATATTAAAGCGGCGACTCCAAAACCTGGTAATAGTAGCAAGAAAATCGAAAGAATAAAGAGTAGAGAGGATGTTGATGGTACGTCCAGAATTTCGGGTTTAATAGAAGGTTTCAAGGGTAAAATGGGTGATATAAGGAACACTGTGATCGATACAGCTAAAGATATCGTAGAGATTGTTACTCTGCCAAATCAGTCTAATGTAAGTCATGAATAAGAATTTTCTCGAAATTTGTTTACCCCCAAAGACTGTGTTAGATTTATGTAAGTAGTAACTCAGTTTTTTTGTACTTACGAAAATTGATAATATTAGATACTCTATGTATATATTTATTAACTAAAAATCAAAGCAATTCTTTATAATCATACAAAGTTTGGCCAATGATAACCTAAATAGTAGAAGCTTCTGGGTTAAGTCGAGTGTTGTTCAAAAAGTTTAAAAGAGTACTAAAAATATCCTGATAACTTTTTGAAAAACATCCGTATGATCCAGAAGTTGTAATAGTCTGTACTTTAAACTTATATCCTGTTATGATTTAGCAGATTGGTTATTGGCGTCACGGACATTGGATTTCAACTAATCCCAATTCAAAACGTGAACAAGCACTTCAAGTTCTCCAAGAAATGGGTTTCAACAATCGCGATTTAAATGCGACTTTGCTAGCGCGTTATGGCGATGATCTTAATTTAGCGTTATCACGTCTTTTGGAGTATAATTTGGATGTGTAACCTTGCACTATTTATTAATCTCTATAGATATTCGATTTCGTCTTTTTAAGTTCCAGTTGAGTGGCATAATGGTAATACAGTCATTTTGTTATTTGAATAAGAACTTGAAGACTAAATCGAATTTTACTTATTAACCTTATACTTTTCAATTTCCGCACTAAAATAAAAAACGAGTTGGTTAACAAGCTATGCTAATTAATACTTTTACATTACATATTATAATATAAAAAAAATCTATACTTAAACGTGTTTTTGTGTTCTTTTCAAATATGTTCGTGTGATTAGAATGTTTTTTTTTGTTGTTTTTGTATTAGTGTGAAATCCATTTCTTGTATAATAAGTGTTAAAATAACATTAAGATATATTAGATTATGCTTTAATTTTTTTTCAGGTTATTACAATGTTGGTGTAAATAAACAATTTTGTTAAATTATAATATAAATGTTTACACCCATGAAAGGCCTTTTATTTTCAGTTATTTTTACTAATATAAAAATAAACATCACTCTACTTTTTTGGCAATTTTACGTGAATACGACGTACTTAAAAGTTTAATATGGAAAAATTTGTATCCTTATATAATTAACAAGCAATGAATTTACACTATTTCTTATCAGTTTTGTAGATACTGAGCTATTATTATAATTTTTTTTAAGAACTTGAACGAGTAAAAATGATTTGCGATTGCGCACTAGGTTGCACGATTATTTGCAGCGCCAGATTGCGTTCTTTGGTAGGGATACGATTAAATTAATTTTAAATCTTTTAGGTTATGTATGTGTTTAGAGCGACAGAGTAACTATTCTCTGGTTTAGAGTGTAAATCGCGATGCCTCTCTTGACTTTTCAACAAATTTTGGAAACCACAGCGGACTTTTTGAGTGTGATAACAATCGCCATATGTTTTATATTGAAGATACCCCAAATAATAACGGTGCTAAAGTTAAAACATGCCAGAGGTATTAATTTAATTGGACTTTTAATGGAGTTGACAAGGTTGAAACAATCAAGTGTTTTATAACATCGGTTTTTTGGGTAATTTTTATATGTTTTTGCTTTAGTTATACTATAATGTTGTCATATAACTTTCGAAATGGTTATGCACTTTTAACTTATATGGAATACCCAATAATTTTAATCCAAAATCTTTCGCTCATATTATTAGTGATGTACTTTAAAGGCTATTTAAATATCTATGCTGTAATTGGAGCAGGAATATATTTTACGTTTGCTGCAGCTTTTATTCTTGGCATAGTTCCCATGTCTGTATTGTCTTATTTAGTGGTATGTAATAGATTTAGAAGTTATTATTGCAGTTTAATTCAAGTTCTTATATTTTTAGCCAATGTGTACACCTATTGGAGCATCATCTAAGGTTGTACAACTCTTAGAAATGGTTAGATTAAAGAATGCAGATTCTGTGAGTTTGTTGACTTGGTTTATATCAGCATTCACTAATGCAAGTAAGTTTCTAACTTCATAATACACTTTTTTGACATTAAAAACATTAAGTAATATCCTTAAAATATTATAATTTTGCTTACAAAATCAGAACCCAAAAGTAAAATATATCTAATTAACAATTTATAAATTACCTGAAGTCACAGCTTAACATGACTTTGGATGTGTCAAATTCTGTGTTTATCATTAGGATCTTAGTAAAAGATAAGAGCTGTGAACAAACTGAAGCTAGAGTAATGTTGGACAACTATTTACAAATTTATTTAGTGTATGGAATCAAGACACAACAAAAACGGAAATCTCAATCAAAATATAAAATAAACTGACTAGCAAAAAAAAACTGGCCACTATAAATTAGCCAAAACTTCAAAGCTGGCTTACTCGCGAACCGCGCATTCGATTTTGATGATTGTTTTTTTGATCCTGCGATAGAAATTTTCATTTAGATTTTAATTTGAGCATATACGGGCTGCAAGAACGAGAAAAACTTTTTTTTCTCGAAATTTGTAATACCCTGTGGGGTGCAACTGCTACAGCAGATAGTGTTAACTGGAATCAAACGGTAGCCCAATCTTTTCTGAACATCTTATTTTTTATTCACTCTATTATTTCTATTACTAACGAAGATGCAGTGTTTTAAAACGAATGCCTGTACAAACAAGCATAAGAAATCTAATGTGGCGCGCTAGGTAGCGTATGTCATTTGTTTCGAATAGTAAATTGACAGTTGTTAAAGATTTTTACAGTCTTTTAACATAATAGCAATCCCATTGTCAGTAACTGATGTTGCGCGTATTGTTACTTTAATTGAGGATGGCATCCTGAACAACAGTTCAGTTAGATTTTGTTAGATAGATTATTATTTTGTTAGTTAGATCCTGAGCAACAGTTCAGGATGCCTGGAATCGATATGTGGAAACAGAAAATTTCACTAGGCGGCAAGGTTCCGGTAGAAGACGAGTGACAACAGCAGTTGATGACCGATTTATTGTTCTAAACACTCCGAGGAATCGTAGAACGACAGCTGTAGAAACTCGGCATCGTCTTCAAATGGTGCGTGGGGTTGACGTTAGTGAAAGAACTATTCATCAAAGACTTGATAAAAGTGATCTGACTGCAAGAAGACCTGCCAAAAGACCTTGGCTGCTCTAGAGACATCGGCGAGCACGTCTTCAATTTGGGCATGAATTAGGGAATGGAACAATGGGGTAAGGTGCTCTTCACTGACGAGTCCCGATTTTGTCTCCGGTCACCTGATGGTCGAGAATGAGTGTGGAGACGTCGTAATGAAAGGTTTGCGACCTGCACAATTTCGGAAAGAGTCCATGGAGGTTCTATTCCCATTTTATTGGTGACGGATTCATGCTAATGCATGACAATGCGCGACCGCACGTAGCACGTGTGGTTAACGAATATCTTGATGAAGTAGGGTATTGAATGGATAGAGTGGCTAGCGTGCAGCCCGGACCTTAACCCTATTGAATATCTTTGGGACCAACTTAAGAGACCCATTCGTCGTCGTCCTGTCCTACCGGACAACCTTCAAGAGTTACGAATTGCTTTTGAAAAAGAGTTTGCCGCAATTCCTCAGGAATCAATTACGAACCTAATCAGTTCTATGCCGCGTCGACTACATGAGGTTATTTTAGCTCGTGGGGGGCACACACGCTATTAATTTTCGTGTTATTATTAATTGTTACATTAAATTAAGTTTGTTTTCTTGTTTATTTGTCAACAGATGTTTACAATAATGAAGGACGTACGTAATTCTGTAATTCTAAGAAAATGTAAGTGCTTCTGCAAAACTGTTTCGGGTGCCCAGTTTTTGTTTTCAAGGTCAGTGATTTAAGGCGCCATTTTTAACAAAGATTAAAAATCTGTACAGGCTTCATTGTAAATTCCCGACCAGAACCACCATCGAAACATTCGCGATTCATAATTGTATAGTCCACAAATCTTTCATTTCAACGTCTTCATATTCGCTCATCGACCATCGGGTGATAGACAAAACCACTACTCATCCGTAAAAAGGACTTTCCTCCATTGCTCGATCTCCCAATTTACATGTAAGCGCGCAGATATCTTGGAAGCAGCCTCGGTCCTTTGGCAGCCTTCTTGCAGCGAGACCACATCTAGCAAGTTTTCAGCGAATGGTTCTCTCACTGACATCAACAACATGCACCATTTGAAGACGACACCGAGTTTCTACAGCTGTCGTTATACGATTGCTTAGAACAATAAAACGGTCATCAGCTATTATTGTCACTCGTCTTGTTTTCACAGGCGATCGCTTTAAAATACTGCATCTTCGTTAGTAACAGAGATAATAGAGTGAATAAAAAAACAAAATGCTCAGAAAAGATTGGGCTACCGTTTGATTCCAGTTAACACCCTCTGCTGTAGCAGCTGCACCCCACAGGGTATTACTAATTTCGAGAAAAAAAGCTTTCCTCATTCTTGCACCTCGTATATGCTCAAATTAATATCCGAATAAAAATTTCTATCGCAGGATTATTACAGAAGAATCAACATTTCGATCAAAAAAAGAATCATCAAATCGAATGAGTGGTTCGCGAGTAAGCCAGCTTTGAAATTGTGGCTACATTTTAGTGGTCGGTTTTTTTGCCTTTCAGCGTATAAGACAAAATAAAATAGTATGAAATAATATAATATGAAAACAATATACCATTATATAATTGCAATGACAATCACAGTCACAGTAATCTTCAGGTAGTCCATCATTGGTTGTCTTAGTTCAATCTTCTAAAATAATATTATTGCTGCGAGGAGTGGCTCCTTTTGTCACCGCGACCTATAAGATCTATATCTGTATCTCTCCAAAGGTTTAGGGTATGTGTAGGTCCTTGATAAGGTACTGTTAACGGCAGGGGCAGTGGCATAAAATATGCTCAACCGTCTCTGTTTCCTCCGCACATAGTCTGCATTCAACATCGTCGGCTACACCCAACAAGTTGAGATGTGCTTTTAATAGGCAGTGCCCAGTAAAAACACCCATTAGAACTTTTATGCTACTACGGGCAAGTCCTAAAATATTCCCGGGTTTGACAGTGGCGATGTTAATAAACACCTTAGCATGTCTCATTCCAGGAGAACTGGTCCACAGTAGGCGAAGTCTCTCTTCAGCCCACAGTCCAATCCTATATTTGGCCATCGCAAATGATACACCAACTGTTGGTTCCGGCCCCACAAACGCTTCAGCGCTGTCATCTCGTGCTAGCTTATCTGCCGCTTCATTGCCAGCAACCCCAGAGTGACCCGGAACCCAGATCAGAGAGACTCTGTTATCACAACTCAGTGTGTTTAATGTTCTCTTACAATCATTAACCAGAACCGTATTCACGGTTTGCAGCGCCTGGTGAGCGGCTTGGCTGTCTGAGAAAATTCGTACTGTCATGTTCTTCACCCCTCTTTCAAGAAGGATTTTAGCACCCATGTCAATAGCAAATACTTCCGCCTGGAATACAGTACAGTACGTACCCAGGGTGTCAGCTTGCTTAATTCGAGGTATCTGGCAATATACTCCTGCTCCTACCTCTTCAGGTGTTGTTGAGGCATAAAACCTCTTTGGTTTTGTTTTGCGACGTAATTATCATACTCATCGCCTGTCTGTGATTTAGAAGTTCTTTCTAGCGTAACGCTACCTTTGAGGCCTCCCATTTATTCATTACATCTTCTATAATATGTTTCACGGTTTCATTTTCACCCCATTCGCAGGAGGATGTCAATGTCTGGTGCCATTTATGCAGAAAGTAAACGTATCTACCATGCCGTATTTTCAAGTTCCGTATTCTGTCTAAAGTTGACCAGATTTTGCGTGGTAAATCAAAGCTAGGAGGCTTTTGGGTAATACATGGGGTCTGATTGTTCTGGTTTGTTATCCATTCGTGATGCCAAGTGTTAATCAGGCTGAATGCTTTGCCTGTAGCAGTGGCTGCTGTTTTGATCGGAGGCGGGTGTAATTGGTGTCCGCAATCTGCTTGTGTATTGGTCGGTTTGATTGCTCAAGATCTTGTACTCTCTTGTGATAGCACTTATAGGGTGCAGGTTTGGGAGTGGTACATGATTCAGTAAGGGGAACGAAAAATTCCATTAAAAATTCCATTGAAGTAGTTTTGATAACCTCTGCGATCATTCTCATCGTGTTATTGAGTTAAGCATCGACTCTGTGGACATGAGGACTATTAAGCTACACTGGCGCACAGTATTTAGGGGCTGAGAAGACGGGGCTCACGGCTGTTGAGCGCAGACTGGAGGCTCCCGTTGTTGTTCCACACTCCTTTGGTGTAACATTGTTCCTCGTTTTTTTGTTTCTCCGCTGTTTTCACTATATGTTCTTTGAATGAGAGCGTGTTATTAACTGTAACATCTAGGTATTTTGGTGTAATGTTGTGAGTAAGCCATGAGTTCTCGAATTATATTAGAAGCTTTCTGTCGACGAGTTTATTGTTTAGATGAAAACATGTTACCTCAGTTCTGTTTGCGTTTGATTGAAGACGCCATTTCCGGAAGTATCTTCCCAGATTCTCTAGGTTGGCTGTCAGAATCTAATCTGATTTTATCAGAATTTAAATCTTTAGACCTGTTTCAGGGATTTCTTCATAAACCGTTTATAATGATATTATCGCCTATATCCACTGCTTTACGGACGCACTCTATAGATTAGACTTGCATTGAAGAGTTTTCTTGGTGAGCATAGGACACCGTGACAACTCGGAATGTTTTGTCATTTAGCATATTATTTAGCAGCCGAGCTCATGATTTACATGGCATAACACGGAAGAATTTAGAGATCATGATACTCTCCATACTGTTTCGTAGGCAGTCGATGGATCAATGAATGCATCAGAAGTTTTGAACTTTCCTTGGAATCCTACTTCAATATAAGTTGAAAGCGAGAGGACCTGCGCAACGCTGTCTTTTAGCCTTTCTGACAGATTCTGTTGTAAACGAGCCTTTCAAGTAATTTTTATGTTACTGACCATGGGTCTCTAGCTATTAGGTGAGTTTACTGTGTTTCTTGGTTTTAGGATTTTTGTTGCAGGATCTTTGTTTGTTTGAATTCTCTGAGTAAGTTACCAGTCTAGATTATATCACTAAAGAATCTGGACAGCTAAAGTTTAGCGTATTTTCCGCTATTTATTACGAATTCTGAGTTGATACCGTCAAGCCCCGGTGCGTTTTCTGTTGTGATTTCGTTGAGCGCTGCTACAACTTTTTCAGATGTGAAAAGGTCAGCATATTCAGTCTCCGTTGCCTCATTCTACAGGTTCCTGAGTTCCGGTTTTAATTCGATTGTAGGTTTTCTTTTGGTGTACAGGTGTCCCAATTTCGTTGTCCGCATAGGCTATCTCCGAAACTAAAAGTGATAGAAAAAACGTGTGATTTCATGATGTCATGATTTCGGTTTTTCGAGAAAATGCTAATGCCGAAAACTTTTAACACCTATCGTCTTTTGTTTTCGCCCTATCGGGAAAAGCTGAAAATTTTGCGAAAACTACAAAACCTTCAAAACTACAACCAATTTTCTCAGAAAAGTCCACGCTTAGCTGCTTGAGGTCTGGAAGTTCAGATTTTCTACCGTTTCCGACCATTTCTGTTGTCTTGTATCCTCAATCCTGTGGAAAAGCTCATCGACCACTTCAAAAACAGCTCAAAACCTCATATTGTTCCAGATACCTTGATTTTTGAAATATCACTGAAAGACAAATGATCTATGTATATTTCTCTTTTGATGAAAAAAGAGGAGAGAAAGTAATTTGAAAGGAAATATTTTTTCTAAATGTCTTCCAATTTAGCTACTTCTTCCGTATATCATTAAGCTTCTAATCAAACTTTATGTCAACAACAAACTGTCAAATATTATTTTCCTTTTTCTTAACTGCTTGGCAAATATTATTGCATTCTCATACCCGACATTGGTTCATCATCTACAGTGTATCACGATGGGCACACTGAGTTAGCTATGTGGATTAAGAATTTGCTAACAGACACTCTGTCATCCTCGGCAAAATAGTATCGGATTGGGAGTACATTTTGACCGACTAAACCATTCCCCATCTATTATCTTCCTTGTAATATATTACGCATTTCTACATGCCTCCATCGGCGGCACATCTTGAAGAACACACTTCTTCTATTTTTCGTCGTACTCTTACTATGTCTATATCATCGTTTCCCGACCTTCTTACATTCTTCTTACGTTGGACACATTATCTCTCATTCTCATCTAGAAGTATCTATTCTTCAGAATAGAGACTTCTCGACATCTAATAGCATCGCAACCGTCTGATAGCTTTTCTTCTGGACAAGTTCCTATGTACTAATGAAATTCATTGCCTGCTGTACAGCTCCTCTACGTTTCTACGTCAGCAACCTGAACCCAAATTGTTCCTCGACAAAAAGCCACTTCGGCTACCACCTCTATAACGCTCTAGATTGTAGTATCTCTGCTAATAACTTTTTAATCGAGAAGTTTATGCATCCCCGAGTTTAAAACTATTCATATTTATTGGTGATACAAACTAAATTTCAATACAATATTCTCATCCCCACCCGTTATCTGCCTTTGTATTCTACGTCTTTCGTATTGATCTATTTAGTTTTATGAAATTTAAGATGTTCCTCGTAATATCTCTGATTTCACATCATCTCACACATGTGTACTCATTAAGATATACTCTTTAAACATTTAAATCGCGACCATTCTTTCAAAATCTTGTATTGTCATGGAATACATTCCTACCTCTTTGTAGTTTACACACATTGCTCTCTGCCGTGTCTACTTATAATTATGATCGTTGTTTGCTCAGTGTCGTTTTATAATCTACTTCCTGTTCTGGTTTTTTCTGTTGCCTACATATTATAAATCATATTTCCCTCATTCTTCTTTCGCGAGAACTCCAAATGCAATGCGTGTAGGATTACTTAAGTTGGGTTAAGTATGCCTTAGTTTAATTTATTAACTATCTGACAAAACAAAAATTAATTTTATTAATGTAGTTACATGAAGTTAGTGGAAATTTCTAAAAGTATGACTGTGTCCATAAGATTAATAGAGAGTAACTCAAAACTAGTTTTTAACTAGTCTAGAAAAAATGTATTGTTATGATAGACACAGAATTTGATGACTTGGTATGCAAGCAACCAAACATACAAATTCAAAGTTGATAAAAGTTATCATTTTTTTTTGTAGTTTATTACAAAATATATTTTCTAATTTCACAATCACATCTAGATAATATTTTAACTCAAATTTGCTCTCACATATATTTTATTTTCATTACTATTATCATTTTTTTTTCATATTCTATTAATAATTTAATATAATTTTCAGCACGTATATTTACGATATTAGTCGATTCTGGGGATTTTGCATTACTGCTCAATTTTATAATAAACACATCTTTGAGTTCATTGGTGATGTGTACTGCTTATTACTTTCAATTCATATATGCGCAGTCAGCAAAGCGAGATGACTGAAGCTACTATTAGTGTGAATTAATTCCATTCTTTTTGTAGGCGATATAAACGGAATGTGATATGTTTTAATTCTTAATCGGTAATAATTTTAAATGGTATTGCTTTCCATTTGTTATGAATAGGTTTGATGGAAACTTGTAGGAGCTATTTATTTTTTTTTTTCTTTTTGAGGCAAATATTTTAGTCATTTTTTTACTACTTGTTATTGTTACGAATATAAATATATTTTATAAAGTGTGATTTGTATGTTATTTATAAACCTAGATCACCTCGTTTAACATACCCTGTTTAGAAATTTCCATTTCTAAATCTGTTTTTATTGTTCCCGCAATATAATTCTAGTATCCGGTAATTTCAAGTACTGTCTTAGAAGTGCTCTGAAAATACTCCATCAAACGTTGGACACTACATATCTAAAAATAGTTCGCATATTGTGTTTCCATCACCATATTTCAAGAAATTATTAATTGAAAGTCAACATCTTAATTACCCTAACTAAAATTCAAAGCAAATTTTTTGAATTTCTTTCAAAAACCTTCCCTAAATCTTTATGTTAAAGTATTTCAAACTCCATTCATTCTCCATTCAATTCCTTCTTTATCCTTTTTTAATCTTTTAGCCTCCGAAAAGAAGAAATAAGACAATGGCGCGCAACCCCAGCGCGCGCCAAACGGTGGGCGGCGTACGTTTTGAAGATATTTGCTTGGCGAAGAGAGTCCCGCCGAGTTTAAATAAGAGTTAGTACCGCGAAGATGTGGCTAGCGAGCGTATGTTCGCTCCTGGCGTTTGCCGCCGTTCTTCAGAACTGCGACGCTCAAAAAGCAATTTTAACACCGCCGTATTTTAATTTAGCCGAAGGCAGAAAAATTTATGCTTCAGCTACTTGTGGTGAAGATATTGAAGGACCTGAACTTTATTGTAAATTGATTGGAAGCAATGCTGATCACGATTCACAATACAATCTTATTCAGGGACAGGTAGGGATCAAAATCTATTCTTTTAATTCTAATTTATTATTAAATTCAAAAAGATTCTAATTGTTTGCTGTACGTTCTTAAGAGATGTTGAATTTGAAATTTTTTTATAAAATATAAAGTAAATTTTTATTGTATTAATAGATTCTTAACGTGGATTTGATTTAAAAGATGATAACTTTAATATTGCAATAACACTTTATACCTTGTCTTGGATATAAAAATATTTATTATTTGAGCTCACCAAATTAGCTCAGCAAATGAATTAATCTCCAAGTTGAAGAATCGTTTTGAACTTTACAATAATATTTCAACTAGATCTTAACAGTAGTTTAACATTACAGTTCATTGTTCTCAGGAGAAACATTGATAATAGACTTAAACACAGGTCAAATTACAATACATCAGAGATTATTGTTTTTCACTTTATTTAGAAGAATAAAATTTTCACATAAAATTAAATAGACTCTCTAAAAAGATAACCAAATTATTTTAAATTTACATCATCTTATCAACTGGTTATGGTTTATTTTTATAAATTTCGAACAAACGGCGCAACATTTTTAGATCTTTTCTTCATTTCTTGTTGATGAAGTAATAATTAGAATATGAGACAGTTTCCCGTAAAGCACGCGTTCTAATTACGCCGACGGACTGTTTACAATAGATCACCGACCCCGATAAATCGTAACTACTGATCCTTTATAATTTTATAACATAAGCTTCGACATTAATATCCTTAAATAAAATACCAACTCGACATCACTCGAATATCTTGACCCCGGACGAGGTTTGTCCCATATCACTATGATAAGACCTCTTTAAACATCAAACAGAACGTTACCATTAAATAGGATGTCGAATCATTTTTAAATATTTAGTTTATTTAATACATATTAGTTAATAAATAATTTAATCAATAAATTTTTTGTACTAAATTGTTGATTTATTTAATTTTGAAAATATTTTTTTCTGTAGTATTGTGACACCTGCGATCCTACAAAACCAGATAAGCGCCACCCACCTGAATATGCTGTTGATGGTACAAGTAGCTGGTGGCAAAGCCCCCCACTTTCAAGAGGCAATAAATACAACGAAGTTAATTTAACAATCGATTTTGGACAGGTAAGTCTTTTACTTTCCAATTACGTACAAAATAAAATTTACAAAATTCATCAAATTAGATTATCAGAAAAGACTGTAAATTCCCATTCCCAGAAGGGTCCGTGCGGCTGTAAAAAGAATTGAAAACCCGCTGAGGGATACTGAACATGTGGTCGCCACATTTGGCTTTTGTAAAGTTTCGTTGACAACCTTCTCTAAAAAAGACCGATTTTCTTCTTGTTATCTTTGAATACGGAGACTTAAAAATAAATAAAACCGTTTAGTACTTAAGTACTCGAATGACATATTCTGGCACTTTAAAGATTTTTCGTTACTTATAAATTTAAGTTTCTTAATAGATCGAGATTGATTAAATAGCCAAATAAAGTGTGGCGAGGTCACTTTTAATAGTTGTAATAACGTTTGATTATGCGGATATGTACCCAGAGTATATTCGAAAATGCTTATTTATCTTATCATTTATTCCTAAGTCGGGTCAGGACAGTGGGCGGCCTGTTTCCTCTCAGCGATATCGTTTACTTCCACTACATTGGACATAATAATAATTCATTATCAAAGGATGTAACGTTTAAAAACCCACACCCGATTCGTTCCAACCAATTTGGTTTTAAAAATTTTGAATTTTCATAAAAAAGCAGACTTTAACTAATTGTTCTGATCTATATTTTGAAAGATAAAAGAAAAATAATAATTAATAAAATATTTTCATACTGAATAAGTACTTTAGATTCACTTAATACGATGATTTATTGTATTAAGTCCAGGTTATTAAAGAAATAATTGCAAATAATTCTTCTATATTTTGCGTGAAACATTTTCTTCTAGGTCTTCAAATGGTAGTTTTCTCTTATTTTTGGAGCAGGTGAAGCTTGAGTTGTTGAATAGATCACCTCAAAGGATAATTATCGCAGGGGACTTTAATATCCACTTTGGTACTGACGATAGGAATTCTAGTCTGTTGGTTGATACCTTCTCTAGTTTTGGTTTCATACGTCTGCTTGTGGATACACCAACTAGAGGTGCAAACTGTCTTGACAATATTTTTGTGAACTTTGGAGATGATGGTGTCTCAGCGAAGGTGGGCTTTAAATGTTCGGATCACTATAGCATTTCCCTGCAGTGTCTCTTGGAAAGTCCTCACACAGATTCTTTGGCAAAATGTAGACCATTGACGAGTATAGGAAAGTGGTCCTTCTACAGTTATGTATACGAAATCAATTGGGATTTCTTATCATGTAGTATTTTAGATGCAAATCAGAAATTTGATAGGTTTCTCGAGATTATCCTTCATGGTTTCTGCAATGCATTCCCTTTAAGAACAGTAAAATCATGTAGAAAAAGAGGTGCTAACTGGTTTACTGATGACCTGAAAAATATGCGAAATCGCTTGCATTTATTAACGGACAGTTGTAAAAATACGGGTTGCAGAGCGCTGAAGGGTGAGCTCGCTGCATTAAAAAAGAATTATAAAGAAAAAATAAGGGAAGCAAAGATAAACTGTAACGATAGCTTTTTAAAACAAAATAGTTTTTCAAGTAGGTCAATGTGGCAGATTGTTAACAATCACCGGATTAATAAAAAAACTAGTATCAAAGCTTCGTTTAACCCAAATGCGGTAAATGAATATTTTGTAGGCATCCCCTTAGACCTCGTTAGCGAAATTTCAATTCGTAATCAAACAACTAATTTTGATGATCATCGTTTCAGTATGGAACCTGTTGGATGTAATGAGATTCGAGATATTATTGGCTCCCTGAAGAATAAACCTTCCAAGGATGTTTATGGTCTTAATGCTGAAATTATAAAGCTAATAAAAGATGTAATAACAGTATCGCTGACAAGATTAATTAATTTATGCATGAGGGAGAATGTTTTTTCTGATGTCTTGANCAAATGGTAGTTTTCTCTTATTTTTGGAGCAGGTGGAGCAGGCACTTGAGTTGTTGAATAGATCACCTCAAAGGATAATTATTGCAGGGGACTTTAATGTCCACTTTGGTACTGACGATAGGAATTCTAGTCTGTTGGTTGATACCTTCTCTAGTTTTAAAAATAAAACGAAAAAACTTCTTAACTTGCTATATTTAATAAAATTGAAGTCAAACTGGTTTCGGGGCTAGCCCCATCCTCAGTGACAAACTAGTTTGACTTCAAATTTATTAAATATAGCAAGTTAAGAAGTTTTTCGTTTTATTTTTAAATAATTCACTTGCAACATGGATCTACACTCTTTCTCTAGTTTTGGTTTCATACGTCTGCTTGTGGATATACCAACTAGAGGTGCAAACTGTCTTGACAATATTTTTGTGAACTTTGGAGATGATGGTGTCTCAGCGAAGGTTCGCGAATGTTCAGATCACTATAGCATTTCCCTGCAGTGTCTCTTGGAAAGCCCTCACACAGATTCTTTGGCAAAATGTAGATCATTGACGAGTATAGGAAAGTGGTCCTTCTACAGTTATGTATGCGAAATCAATTGGGATTTCTTATCATGTAGTATTTTAGATGCAAATCAGAAATTTGATAGGTTTCTCGAGATCATCCTTCATGGTTTTTGCAATGCATTCCCTTTAAATACAGTAAAATCATGTATAAAAAAAGGTGCTAACTGGTTTACTGATGACCTGAAAAGTATGCGAAATCGCTTGCATTTATTAACGGACAGTTGTAAAAATACGGGATGCAGAGTGCTGAAGGGTGAGCTCGCTGCACTAAAAAAGAATTATAAAGAAAAAATACGGCAAGTAAAGATAAACTGTAACGATAGCTTTTTAAAACAAAATAGTTTTTCAAGTAGGACAATGTGGCAGATTGTTAACAATCAAAAAAAGTGATTAATAAAAAAACTAGTATCAAGGCTTCGTTTAACCCAAATGCGGTAAATGAATATTTTGTAGGCGTCCCCTTAGACCTCGTTAGCGAAATTTTAATTCGTAATCAAACAACTAATTTTGATGATCATCGTTTCAGTATGGAACCTGTTGGATGTAAGGAGGTTCGAGATATTATTGGCTCCCTGAAGAATAAACCTTCCAAGGATGTTTATGGTCTTAATGCTGAAATTATAAAGCTAATAAAAGATGTAATAACAGTATCGCTGACAAGATTAATTAATTTATGCATGAGGGAGAATGTTTTTTCTGATGTCTTGAAGTCAGCATTGGTCATTCCGGTCTTTAAAAAAGGTGATCCTCACGAAGTAGAAAACTATCGTCCCATTTCGGTGTTACCGGTATTTTCTAAAGTTTTTGAAAGAGTTATTAAGGATAGAATTATAAATCATTTTGGAAAAAACAACATATTCACACCTAGTCAATGTGGTTTTTGACAGAATCTCAGTACTAGGGATGCAATTGTGGCTTTTGTCCGCCAGGTGGTGGATGGCTACGAAAATGGGGAATTTACATCCACAACCTTTTGTGATCTCAGCAAGGCCTTCGATTGCGTTAACCATGGTCTTTTGTTAAAAAAATTGGACAAATATAATTTTGATGAAAGTAGTGCTAGAATTAATAGAATCTTGTCTCACTAATAGAAAGCAAGTAGTTTATTGCAATAAATATTATTCAGTACCCAAAAATATTTCTATTCTCAAGGACCGGTGCTTTTTCTTATTTACGTAAATGATTTGCCGAATACTATCAGTAGTGGATCGGTAATATTATACGCAGATGACACCACACTTATTAACAAAAGTACAAATTTGGTGGATGCTCTTGCCTTATCTCAGATTGCACGAGCGGAGGCTGAACAGTGGTTTGCCTGTAACAAATTAAATTTAAATAAAAGCAAAAGTATGGAAGCTGTTTTCACGCTTCGAAACGCTGGTGCGGACTTAGACAGAAAACAAGTAGTGGATTTCCTGAGTGTAGGTCTCGACCCTATCTTAAACTGGGAACACCACATAGATAGATTGTGTGGACGTTTGAGTAGCAACATCTTTGTGTTGCGAATTCTAAGCAATAATGTGCCAGTCGCTTATGTCTTACGCGTTATTGGCGTGGGGAGGTTGTGTTGGGTGGCACAGAATTTTCCGATTACAGCGACGTGCTGTGCGGGTGGTCTGTGGTCTGAGTTACAGAGATTCTTGCTGTGCTTCATTTATCAGTTATCAGATTTTAACGTTTTCCTCATTGTATATTCTGGAGTGCCTGTTGTACGTACGTAGAAACGTAGGAAGATTCTCTATAACTACACGAAATAGTCACAAGTTAATACCAAACTTTTGCAGACTCTCTAAGTCACAAAAGTGTGTCGATTTTGCTTCTTTTAAATTCTATAATAAATTGCCAGCATCGCTGCTCTCGGTGGGAGCTTTTGAGGTGGCGGTCAAGCGGTTCTTGCTGACAACGGGTTTTTACTCCTCTTCGGAATTTCTGGACCGCGACCTCTCAGAGGGAGATTTTAATATATAACCTATTTTGTCAGACATGGTAGTATCGGCTGTAATGAATGTTAATCGTAGTGTGTCGGTACCGTATGTATTAATTTTTTTTTACTTGATGGGTGTAAAACAAATTTGTAATTGCACGAATAAATTCTATTCTATTCTTCTTGTTAATTAGCAACTATATTTTACTATTTCCTTTTAACATTACATTACTTTCAATATCACTGCTTGCATAATGGCAAGCATGTCTCCCTTTGAAGCTACACTGTCGTTTCTGTCTTTCCCTTTCACACCCTCTTCCAAAAGCCCTTTTTCCATGGTCTTCCATCCATCGCCAGTCTCTTAATTCCTGTTATATCTTTAATATAATAACTGTCACATTGTCCCAGGACATCTTTGGTCTTTCTTTGCCTCTCTTCCACGGTGTTCTACTTTGCCATATTTGCTTGACAAGTTGTCTCTCTTGTATGCATCGTTCAACAGATTTTATATTTAACTGGCTTCAGGTGGATTCATTACGAATTTTATCTAACTTCGGTACTCCAAGGACTTTTCCTAGGTGTTTCATTTCTACTGCTCTTATGAGATTGAGCCGATTTCAATTGGTCTA